AGAGAGAGAGAGAGAGAGAGAGAGAGAGAGAGAGAGAGAGAGAGAGAGTTACTGAACAGTTGTTAGGGAAATAGAAGACTTTCAAACCATAGACAGAGGAAGCTGCCAAAGACATTGATATTGGATTTAATACGTTGTCCCTAGACTATAAAACTTTCCTGAAAAAAAAAAAAACTAGTAACTCTAAAATTTGGGTTAGCATTGTAGGATCTGGTAGTGGTTTGTTTCTTGGTAAATTCCTAATCTGTTTTCCCAAAAATATAGCTTCTAAGGGAGAAACTGCCTGTCTGCCTTCCTGGAGCATCATTGTGACTGTGGCTCACTCATTCCTAGTGTTTGGGTTTTTTAAATGTTCTTTTATTTATTTATTTTTCCATTTTACATATCAACCACTGTTCCCTCTCCCCCACCTCCTCCCATTTCACCCTCATTCACTCCTCACAGGGGGTAAGTCCGCCCTTGGGCAGCCAACACAGACTGTCATACTAAGTTGGGGCAGAACTAAGCCCCTCCCCCCTGCATCAAGACTGAGTAAGGCATCCCACCCATAGAGAATGGGCTCTGAAGAGCCAGTTCATGTACCCAGGATAAGTCCTGTTCCCATTGCCAGGGGCCCCACAAACGGATAAAGCCACACAACTGTCACCCACATTCAGAGGACCTAGTTCGGTCCCATGCAGGTTCCCCAGCTGTCAGTCCCCAGTCTGTGAGTTCTGGCTAGCCAGGGTCAGCTGTCTCGGTGGTTTTCCACATCATGACCTTGACCCCCTTTGCTCCTCTAGTCCCTCCTGTCGCTTTTCAACCGAACTCCCGGAGCTCGGCCAAGTGCTTGGCTGTGGGTCTCCCGGGTTTTCTGCTCTAATTCCAATAAAATATTCGTACTGATGTTGGAGTTGTTTGTAGGGCCTCCATTTCCCTGCTACCTTTAGTCCTTAGCAGTTAAACAGTCCACTGCTCACTTCTCCTCTTGGTGAAATGCTGCTTCCTGCTTGGTGACCTTTGGTGGCTCCAGTATGCAAACTGGACCTTTCTCCCACGGGAGGTGGGGGGGCGGGATGCCAGAGTGAATTTGGAGCTCAATAGTTGTGCTTTTATTATTTTCAGATTTAGCACTCTCCTGGCAGGCTTGCATCATTTTATTTTAAATGCCTTCAAATATTTGCTCTATTTCTGAAACCCAGTGTTGATATTCAGCCAAGGCTGGCCTCAATTTCCTATCTTCAAACCTAAGCCTTGAACACATAATTTTAATAGTAAAACTGTCCTCAGCAAGAAGGTGAACATGAAACAAATTAGGCTAACATGGAAAACTGAAGTTAATTAAACAAGGTTAAATATTTAACCAGATGTGAGCCAACAGTTGCTGCGGAATTTGACTTAGTAATAATCTGTATAAAATTTCATTTGCCTTCAGTGTTAATATTTTTGATTTTATTTTTATTTATTCATCATAGTTTTATTTTTTTATTCATCTATTTATTTTACATCCTGGCTGCAGCCTCCACCCCATCCTCCTTTCCCAGTCCCAGTCCCCCATTCCCTCCCCCACACACTCCCCAACCCCCTCCTCTTCTGTCTCCCATGAGTATCAATAAAACATGGCATATAAGCTGCAGTAAGACTGAGTACCTCTCCATGTATTAATGCTGGGCAAGGTGACTCAGTATGAGGAGTAGGGTCCCAAAAGCCAGTAAAAGAGTTGGAGTTAGCCCCTATTCCTGCTGTTAGGAGTTCTACAAGAAGGCCAAGCTACACAACTGTAATATATATGCTAAGTGCCTAGGTCAGTCCCATGCAGGCTCCCTGGTTGTTGATTCAGTCTCTGTGAGCTCCTATGAGCCCAGGTTAGTTGATTGTGTGAACCTTACCATGGTGTCCTTGATCCTTCTGGCTCCTATACTCCTTCCTCTTCCTCTTCCAAAGGATTGCAAAACTCTGTCTAATATTTGGCTGTGGGTTTCTGCATCTTCTCCCATCAGTTGCTGGATGATGCCTCTCTGATGACAACTGATCCAGGCACCAATCTGGTCACAGGAGGCGACCAGTTCACAGTACTTATCTGCTATTGCTCGGAGTCTAAGCTGGGGTCCTCCCCATAGACTTCTCAGAGATTCCCTTGCACTAGGCTTCCTCCTGACCTAAAATGCTCCCCCAGCAGTCCCCCTCAGCACTCTCCCCCTCTGTATCCTCCCCAACCTGATTGATTGCTCATGGTCCCATCCCCACCTACCTTCAGTCTACTCACAAAATCTCTTCTATTTCCCCTTCCCAGGAAGATCTGGTGTCTCCTCATGAACCCTCCTTGTTACCTAGTCTCTCAGGGTCTGTGGATTATAGCATAGTTATCCTTTATTTTACAGCTAATAACCACTTGTGAGTGAGTACATACCATGTTTGTCTTTCTTGGTCTGGGTTACCTCACTCAGGATCACGTTTTTCTAGTTCCATTCATTTGCCTTCAAATTTCCTGGTGTCTTTGTTTTTAACAGCTGAGTAATATTTCATTGTGTAAATGTACCACATTTTCTTTATCCATTTCTCAGTTGAGGGACATCTAGGTTGTTTCCAGGTTCTGGCTATTACAAATAAAGTTGACATGAAGATAGTTGATATATGTGTTATGAAGTACCCTTGTGGCATGATTGAGCATCCTTCAGGTGTAAGCCCCAGAGTAGCATAGGTGGGTCTTTTGGTAGGTTGATTCCCAGTTTTCTGAGAAACCACCACACTGACTTCCAAAGAGGCTATTCAAGTTTGCATTAACGGAGGAGTGTTCCACTTGCTCCACATCCTCTCCAGCATGAGCTGTCACTTGTGTTTTTGATCTTAGTCATTCTGACAAGGTGTAAGAAGGAATCTCATAATCATTTTTATGCATTCCTCTGATGGCTAAGAATATTGAACATCTCATTAAGTGTCTCTTGGCCATTTGAGATTCTTCTGTTGAGAATTCTGTTTAGATCTGTAACCCATTTTTATTTGGATTATTTTGTTTGTTGATGTCTAGTGTCTTGAGCTCTTTATATGTTTTGGAAATCAGCCCTTTGTTGGATGTGGAGTCCTATTAATGGTGTTCTTTGTCTTATAGAAACTTTTCAATTTCATGAATTCCCATTTATTAATTGTTGATCTTAGTGCCTGTGCTATTGGTGTTCTGTTCAGAAAGTTGTATCTTGTGTCAATGTGTTCAATATTATCTCCCACATTGTCTTCTATCAGGTTCAGTGTATCTAGATTTATGTTGAGGTCTTTGATCCACTTGGGCTTGAGTTTTGTGCAGGGTGATAAATATGGATCAGTTTGTATTCTTCTACATGCTGAGGACCAGCACCATTTGAGTCTCCATATTTACCACCTTTAACTGCATGGAGAGGCTCCTAAGATTGAGGCTAAGAATAGATTTGTTAATTAGTATAAACATACGTACTTGGAGGGCAGTTTTATATTATGTCAAATTAGTTAACTGACAGTATAAAGTTCTCAACTTTCTTCTATGTCCCCTGCCGCCACCGTCAGTTATTGATCATATTTATAGTATTAAGCATAAACTCCCACCTGTGGATAAGAGCACAAATCCAATCATAGAGTGGTTGGTTATTCCTCTAATAGTCACTTCCATTATTGCATAAGTGGGCATATCTTGCTTGGCAAGTTAGTGTTATGATTCATAAGGTTCACAGTTCTCTCCCCCTCCACCCAGGAGCTTTCATAGCAGCTTCTAGCACTTTGAAAATCAGTCATCAGGGAAGACTTTTTCAGTTATTCTCAGATTGCTTTCTCTATATCTTGCAATCACATTGTGTAGAGGCTATAGCAATGGCATCTTATCCTCTAGCTCCTAGAAGCAACCATTCATCTCACCGGGAAAACTCTATACTGTTTTCAAGATGTTTTCCTGCCCAACAACTTCTAAAGAGGTACATCATACCAGGCACGTGTATGGTACTTTTGGTGGAGTATTAAAAATACATTTCTAGAGCAATTTCCTGTACCTTGAAAACTAAGTTGCTATCATTATAGAACAATAGAATATGTATATATTATTTTTACTGGTACTTATTACAATGATCAAATATTTGCTTAAGGATAGTTTAAGTGTCTGCCTTTTCCTTCCAACCCAATTCCTTATGGCATAACTAGCAAACACAAGTTGTAGACACATTTGAAGTGTATAACATGATGTTTTGGTATACACATATGATGAAAATGATCAGCATAGTCAACTTATTGATTATGTTTATCAACTTACCTCAATACCTTTTTATCCTGAGTCTATGTGTTGAGAACACATAAGATCTACTCATTCAGCAAGCTCTAAGCATAGGACATGTTGTTAGGAACTGCAGTCACCATATGCTGTGTACTAGATCTCCAGAGCATCTTCATTTTGCATGACTAAACTATTGCATACTTCCTCCAGTGCTTCCCAATTTCCATCACCCCCAGGTCCTGGAAACCATCATCCTCTCTGCCTCTAAGAATTCATCTCTGAAAATTTAGACTACTTATATGCATGAGATTGTGCACTATTTGTCTTTCTGTGCCTGGCTTATCTCAGTTGGCACAATTTCCTCTAAGTTCATCTCCATTATCACAAATGCCAAGATTTCCATATTCCTTAAGCATGGATAACATATCATTCTATCTATATATACCAACTTTTCTGTATATATTTATCCAACAAAATACACAGGTTGAGTCCATATTGTATCTATTGTGAATACCACAGTGAATATGAGTGTGAAGATATTGCCTCAAATCACCAATTTTATTTTCTATTGCTGTGTACCCTACTGGGTTGAATCTCTGGATCACATAGTAGCTTTGCTTTTAATTTTTTAGGACACCCCATAATTACTGTAGCAATTACACTTCCCTTTGTGGTACGCAAAGTTGCCATCTTCTCCACAGTAGAGCTGACACTTATTATCATTTGCATTTTGCTGGTAACGATTCTACCTACCAGCCATGGTGCACTATCTTAATACAATTTTACATTACATTTCCCTTGTGACTGGAGATGTAGTTACACTATTTAATCGATTGTATGTCTTCTGCTTAAAAATACCTGTTCAGAGCCTTTGCCTCTACTGTATTCAGGGTATTTGTTGGCCTGCTATAAAGTTGTTTGTATTCTTTATGCATTGTGGGTAAATATGTGGCTTGGAAATGTGTTGAAATTTCATGCCATGTAAATTATCATCTCTCTTTTGCTTCCTTTACTGTGCAGAAGCTTCTATCCCATATGTTTATTTATACTTTTGTTGGATGGGTTTTTGAAGTCATATCTATAAACTTATTACATAAGCCATAAAGAAAACCTAGTAAGTTTTCTTCTCTTAGTTTTACAGTTTTAGGTCTTAAGTCTAACTTTCTGCCATAGTTTGGATTTAGACTATCACTTAAAGGTCCAAGCATTTTCAAAGAAAACAGCCCTTTTTCTTTGTCCCCAGGCAGTGGCACTATGGCAAGGTATGTGTAGCTAAAACCTGCATTCTAGCAAATTGGAAAAAAATCTAAAAGAAATGGTAATTTTCTGATATATACCACCTACCAAAGTTAAATCAAAATCAGATAGGCAATTTAAAAAAGACTTGAAACCCCAATAGAAGCAGTAATTAAAAGGTTGAGGACCAAAAAGAGCGTAGGGTCAGATGGTTTTAATACAGAATTCTACCAGAATTTCAAAGAAAAATTAATGCCAATTACCCTTAAATTACTCCACGGTATAGAAGGAACATTGCATAATTATTTTTAACAACACCATAGTTACTCTGATACCTAAACCACATAAAGACCCAATAAAGAAAGAGAATGACAGAACAATTCCCCTTATGAACATAGATGCAAAAACATTCAACGTAATACTTGCAAACCAAAGTAAAAAACACATCAAAAAGATCATCCACCATGATCAGATAAACTTCCTCCTAGAAATACAGGGATGGTTCAACATACAAAATCAATAAATGTAATCCACCATATAAACACACTGAAAAAATAACCACATGATCATTTCATTGGATGCAAAAG